ATAGAAAGTTTTGTCATCCTTTTTGAGTTTTTACTGATCTGAAAAGTAGGAAATAGCATCCGAATGCAACTTTAAATTGAATTTTCCTAATTATGAGTGGATTTGAACATTTCCACGTTTGACCATTTATAGAGCTTTAATAATTTGTTCATGTCATTTGTCCATTTTTTGGAATAAACTATAAATATGTAGTTTCTGAGTACTGTGAGTTCTTCTAGTGAATCATTGAAGTTTTCATTGCAGTTATTTTCCTGTTTACTTCAGAATTTATTTGTTTCTTATCATTTGTCTCTCTTTATTTGGGTGAGAGATTGTTCTCATTCTTTTCCTTTGGATGTATTTAAAATAACTGTGTTAAAAGCCTTGGTCTAGTAGGTGCAACCTCTGTGCTTTCTGGAACAGTTTCTTTTCCTTTTTCTTTTTAGTGATTCTGGGGCTTAAATATAGGGCCTTGAGCATGCTGGGCAAGTGTTTTTCCACTGGTTTCTTGACAGTTCCTGTTGACTGCTTTATTTACTGTGTATTGGCCAGACTTTATTTCTTTGTTTTGTTTTGTTTTGTTTTTGTTGTTTTTGTTTTGTTGTGTGTGTGTGTGTGTGTGTGTGTGTGTGTGTGTGAAAACTGGATATTTTAAATAATATAACACGGCAACCCTGGAAATCAGATTCTCCTCCTTGCTTCTGTCCTCCACAGAGTTTATTGCTTGTTTTGTGAATTTTCCAAACTAATCCCATAAAGTCTGTGTTCTGTCGTGTGTGGCTACTTAGTCTTTGCTTAGTTATTTTAGTGGTCAGCTAATATTTAGATTTCCTTAACTGCTTTTGCCAAGGGGCTTTGTGTGCATGCTTGCAAATCCTTTAAAGACTCAAATAAGCCGGTGGTAACTCTGCTTAGTGTTCACCACCTGATTGCACAGAGCCTCCAAGTCATGAGCATGCATACAGCCCTCTGCATGCCTGTGGCCATATAGATTCCAGGACCATATTAAAACTTTCCAAACCCTCTATGGACATTTCATTTCCCCCAGGTTTTCCTTTTAAGCTCTTTGGTTACTCTATTGTTTTCCTCAACTACCTCTGGTACCTGGAAATTTTTTGCCACATGTCCCAAGGAAAAAGTTTTCCTACTGAGAGAACTTTTGAGTCAGTGTCAAAGGCAGCTTGTAAGTAGTTCATTCAGGGATCCACCAGATGGGTAAAATAAAACACATGTCCTCAGCAGAAGTTCTAAAGGCACTCTGGCCTCATTTTGTCCTGTTTGGTGGCTAGCTCCTTGCTAGCTTCCACCGTGATTGCCTGCTGTGTAGTTTGCAAAGCTACTGTGTGGAGCTACAGAGGGAAGAATGGGAGTGCAGTAAAGTGACATGAATCTTGCTGTTCTTAACAAGCTCTCTTAAATAAACCCTCCCTAGGTTGCTGCAAGGATTTGATTAATTTCCAGAGTTTTGAAAATTTTAACTCTCACAATTCTGGCCAGTTTTCTCCTTTGCTAAGGAGAGAATTTTCAGCAATCTTTACCATCTTGGTGGACCCAGTGCAATTTTTAAATATAAATTGGATCATGTTACTTTTCAACTTCAAATGGTTTCCAATGCTCTTAGAATAAAATCCAAACTCCTTGATCCATGAGTATAAAACTAATAGAATTCTGTTTGCATTTCCAGAATTATCCCTAGTCCACTTCCCCTCTTTCAATATACTTCAACTTTATAGAGCTCCTTCATGTTCTTAGGACTGAAGTGTCCCCCAACCCAATGGCCTATCATACATAGAGAATTGGCTTCTGGCCATTTTGCTAGTCCTCCCCCACCCCCCAGTTGGCCTTATTTTCACCCAAGATTCAACTACATCAGAGAAGAGCCCATTCCCCTGTCAGCCATCATAGGAAAACTGAATTTTATCTCAGAGGCTCTCTGCTCTGAGAGGTCTAAACCCTGTCCATCAGGATGCAGGGTTCTGATTAGCCAGACCTGAGCACCCGTGCCAGGTCTCTTGCCAAGGCAAATGGAAGCACCATATTGCAAGTATGGCAGGGAATGATGGCCAAGAGAAAGACATGCACATATGGTTGCCAAAGAAGGGTGAATCAATCCTGGGCAGAAACTGCCACCTCCTGCTTCCACTACATTACCTTTGGGTTTGGACTCAAGCTATTTCCTCTGATGAGGGTGCTAAGCACAACTGGCACATGCTCATGTTTTCTCTTCAGATAGACCTATTCTGATCATTCAATCTAAGTAGTTCCCTTTCCTCATTCTTTATTACAATCCTCTTTTTAAATCTTCATAACCTTGAGATCAGACATCAGATTAATTCCCTCAACAAATATTTATTTAGCACCAACTAGTGTCAGATAGTGTACTAGACTTTGTTTATGGTCTTTCATAACACTCTGTTTTATTAACCACTGCATGATTCAATGCCTAGAGCATAAACAAATATTCACTCAATGAATGAATGAATGAAATGGCCCTGATAGTTAAATTGATTCAGTAAGATTTTGAAATATTTAAAATAGAAATAGGAATCTATTATTCTGCCAAACCAGTGTATCTCAATCTTTCCTCATCATCTCACCACTTATTTCAGAAACACTTGGGGACCCCCAATTAAGGTAACCAGGAGAATCTTAATCACCTAAAATCAAACATAAAAACTACATGATACACTAAGAGGAACTGTGAGATGAATGGAAAGTGAGACAATCTCACCACAGAAATTGTTGTAGCATATGAACAAACTTTAAACATGTAAGATTTATTAACAAAGGAATAAAATTTCTACAAAATAATAAGCAATATTACATTTTAATTTGTGAAATGTTAATTCAAATACCATTCCTGACTTTCTCTGACCATTAGATTCTGGCAATTATGTAGCCTCACATGACTTGTCCTATCATAGGACTCACTGCAACACATTTCAGCTACCTGGGGATACTCAGGGGACTCATCAACTCCCATGGCTTCAATGACTACCGATGCTCAGGTGACTCATCAGTCACAGCACCAGCCCACACCTCTATTCCAAACTTCAAATTCATATCTCGACTTTCCTACTTCTCTTATTTTTTTTTCAAAGGTACCTAAAGTTCACCTTGCATAAAATTGAACTCATATAGTTTTCTTCAGTCCTGGTTGTAACTCAGCAGTGTCTATCACAACTATAGCACCACTGTTTGACCAAGAAAACCTAGGCATCAGAATTGATCCCTTTTTGTTCCTTGACACCATTTCCAAAGTATCAATGTATAAGCAACCACTATTTTACCTCTTAAATAGTTCTCAAATCTCCTACCACTATCATTTCTATGATAATATATCATATCTATAATATCATATCTATGATAACCTTGGTCTATCCATACCCCGTCGCTCACCTAATTCATCTATTCTCTACACTACTGTTGGATTACTCACATAAAAATGCAAAATATATGTGACAGAATCTCTACAATTTTTTTAACCAATAAGTTAAGGATTATCAGGCTAAGCAACAATCAAGGGGACATTATTTGAAATTTTCCTCTTCATCAAAATATTAAGTCAGAGGAAAGATCACTTTTTAGGGGGATTTATAGAGACTAAAGTTATTATCAGTGATTTGTAAGATGCAAGCCAATGGTTTCATCCCCAATTCCTCAATATGGCCATTAAAAACCAATGATAACTCCAATTGCATTTTCTAATCCTCAGCACAGCACTTTACTAGAATAGGTGAGTAAAGTTCTTGATTCTCGATCCACAGCTCCTTGTTTGTTGATGGTGCATTACCTTATTCCTGCTCACTTGGGCAACCAGAGCACTGATTTCACCTGGCAGGGGCAACAGTTTGTTAAAGCTGTCTCTGTGTCACAGTGGAGTCCTCTGGAGCCTTGATGACCTAGAATGTGACCCTGACACAATACATTTACAATCTACAGCTGATTGCTCCTGGAGAATAGTGAGTGACAATGCCCTAGTTATCTTAGAAAGAAATGAGTTAGAGATCCCTCTTTAAGAAACAAAAGAACCAACATTCTCTGGTAAGTCCCAGAAAGAAGTGGGGGTTCCACTACCAATGACATGACAAAGTATTCTTCTCAACAGAAGGCAAGCTGCTGCACAAAATAAAAACAGCGAATCTTTTTGGATTTTGGAATCAGGTTGAGATCACATTTGTGTGACTTCTGACCAATTAACAGGTAACACAGAAATGTGCCCAGAGCAGAAAAAAAGGAGGTTTTCCTGATGGTCAAGTTTGCAATAAAAGCTTCCCTGCTAGCTGGCCTGATGGCCATATCAAACAAACAGTGTCCAGGATGCATGCAAGAGACCAACATGGTATGAGGAAGCTCTGTAAAACTATGAACATCAAAGTTACCAGGGGAGACCCTGTGGCACTTAACCATATCACTATCAGTAACTCTTCTTTCTGTGCAAATACCTCCTGGGCTGTTTCTAAAACCAAATATCTGATTATGAACTCAGGTAAGTATGTACCCTGGGCTATCCTGCTTGAAGCAGATGTTATCAGTTCCATAATCTACATTAACACTGGGTTTCCTTTAGAACACTCTAAGAAGTATGATATAAAACAACAAGAGCAAGAACAAGAATATAGGTGAGATTATATCCACACCTATAATCCCAGCTACTTTGCAGGTAAAGGCAAAGCAAGTTCAAGGCCAATCTGGGCAACGTAGTTGTCAGACTCTGTCTCAATGTGAATTTTTTAAATAAAAGAGTGGAGGATAGAGTTCAGTGTTAGAGTGCTTGGTTACCATCATGAGACCCTGGGTTCAATTCCCAGTACCAGGAAAACACAGATACACACACACACACACAAAAAAAAAAAACAAAAACAAGCTTTTCAGTCTACAAGAGTTAAAGCACTATTTAAATAGGTTGCTCAGTTAGAGTACAGAAGCATAGCCTTATATAGTCATAAGAATTACTTAATAAAATCTTGTTCAGTGAAGATGAATACATGAACCTCTTCCGAAGTAAATTTGACCAGACATTAGGCTCCATTAATGTTTATTTTAAAGATCACTTTTTATTGTAACAAATATAAAGTCATCAATGTCTTACAAATTGTCAAAAATGATTTAAGTACAAAAAAAATACATTAGTAAAACCAAAGTTATATTGTATTATTTGGTACATAATTAATACTGTCAACATGCACACCATATGCCAGAAAAGCTCATGCATTATTGGAAGAAAAGACAAATAAGATGCAACTGCTATAACTGTGTGATTATAAATTCATTGCTTCAGTCAGTTTTCTTTCTTCAGGGATACCATTTACCTGCAAGGTGCAAGAATGAATATGAGCATGAGTTAGGCAAGATACAGACACTTTTAGATTCGGGGCAGTGTGAATTATGGCAAGAAGAAATTTTCTATCTTCTTAACATAATTTAAAGTAATTACATTGCATTATTTCTTTGCATTTCATTAAAGAACAATTTCTAAATTAGCCGTCCCCTCCCCTTCTTGGACCAAAGCTGAAATGTTCTGTATTTCTCAAAAGGTATGGCCTGAAAATTCCTCCCACAATAAACAAACAGAAAGAGGTTGCCTGCGGGATGTATGACTGTACCTTTTAATCGTGGCTTTTAAAAAATACCATGTGGGTTGGAAGGGCAAGAGAAAATGAGAAAACCTGAAGGGACATCAAACCTAATGGCCTGGGCCTGGGCCAGAAGGCAGTGCTATTGTCAGCTTCTAACTGCTCTATTATCCCAGTTAGTGCTCAAGTCTAGGAATACAACGCCAGCAGCTACTTCACTTCTTAAACTTTAGATGAGAATTTGAAAGAAAACAACAAATTACATGAAACAAGCTTCAAAATCTACTCTCCCCTGATAACTTCCATTTGGTAGCTACAAATAAAATTACTTGCTATCCAAGAGACAAATTTGTGCCTAAATTACCTTCATGGCATAGTGCTTAGAGGTACTTGGAAAAAGACAGTTATTGTTTCATGATAATCATGTACAAATGTAGCTGCCTCATTATGGTAGGATAACCAGGATGAAAGAACAGAAAGACTCAACCACCGTACTCATGAAAGTACATAAACAGCACCGCATCCATGCATTTGCAGACAGAACAGAATAATTTAGAAATAGAAAAACAATTTTTTTTTCATTTTTATAATGAACAGAATGGGAACAAGGAATGTAACTGTGCCCACTTAGCTCCCCTCTCCAGGAGGCCTGACTCCACTTAGTTACCAATGTGTCAGAGGTAGAAACACAACAATTTTTCATAATTATGCAAAATGCTAAGGTGGCCTCTCTTCTGAAACAGACACTGGAGCCTCATTGATAAAACAAGAAAACAACCAAGAGGAGACAGTGCATTTCAGTCAATAACATGATCCAAATCGCAGAAAAACATAAGGAAACAAGAAGGTAATTGGTCATGGTGCTAACTGAAAATGAGATCCATGCTTTCTTCACTCAAGCAAAATGCCTGCTCCCCAAAACCTGCTTTAGAAAAATAATTTTGAAAATTAACTTGAACATCCTGAACTCCCCTAGGGCAAAGGCTTTGGCTCTTACCACATTGGCTCTGGCATAAATTCTCCTTGTATTTGGAAAAGTTCCCTATTACTAAAAAGCTAACAAGTCTACTTGCTAAAAATCTATTGTGATTATCAAACTGGTAACGTCTGTGAAAATCATCCCTAATATTATCTACGTAAGCTTTCTACTTCTCCTCATGAGTAAGTAAAATATGGATCTTTAAGATATTTTTATATACTTTTTTTTTCTAGTAATTATCTCCCTTTTCCTCACCTGTCTCTGAAATAATCAAGAATCAGAAGACAAATATTTCAGGAGTCATAAAAGTCTATGAGATTAATGAGGAAGAGGTTCTCTTATTCCTATTATAGAAATATTCCTTTAATTTTTTTCTGCTTTTAAAATATAGCCATGAAATTAATGGTAGTAAGGATTCATTTTTTCTCTATTTAGGTGACATACATTTATAACCAAGTTTGTTTCTTCATCAATCTCCTGAATGCTTACAAAGTAAGCACCACCACATCAATATATTGAACAGTCTTGTTGGAACATATTAGCATTTAATTAAAACAAGTATCAAAATTGTGGGGAAAAATTCTGATAAACATCATAATTAAAATCTGATGAAAATTTTTATTATACTTGCCTCAAATCTTTGAAAAGTTGTCAAACGAAAATCTCCTTAAATTCCCGAAAGCAGTAATAATAGAGAAGATAATTTCTGAATGAAAACATCCAATACATTTCTACATGTGCTTGAAGTTTTTGAGACTAACTTAATAGTTTCCCTACCACAAAGCCACTATTCATACTTAGAATTCCACACCCAACTTACATTTTTAAAACTTTTCTTGCTTTTCCAAAAGAGCTACAAAGGCATTACTGGTTGCCTGGCAATTAGAACTAGGAATCAACCACTAATTAGAAGACAATCATGAATAAGTTATCTACTTGGTACTGAAATGAATGAAATAATTGGCTGTGGAAAATTTTTAGGGACACTTGAAAGACATAAACTTAAAGAAAGCAAGTCTTAGGGAAATAGAATAGTTTAGGGAGAATTGTCCGCCATCTTGTCGTCACTGGTCATGTTATAACAGCTTTCTAAAGCAGCTTTAAAACCAGGACAACCATTTTTCACTTATCCCCCTGAAGCCTCAGTGATTAGTCACAAAGGTTTCCTTTTGTAAGAATCAGTTTCAAGCTGCTCACTTACTGAGACAAATCCTGGATGCATCCAAGCTAAAAATCTTTCATACCAAGGGGAAGAATAGGGTGCTTGGCTGAAGGAAGGGGATTTTATTCAGTCTTCCTTAATTAGACAGGACCTCCATGGATGCTTTTGCTGTAAGATCATTTACTCTGTGTTTATCATTCTGATGCCAATCTATGCAATAATCTAAGCTATTATTCTGAGGTTCTAAGTCTGATTAAGAAATGATACAAGTGTTTTGCCTTACTTGGTGAAGCAAAACCTTCATAAATTATATAGTGCTACAATTATCTTTTAATCTATTAGCTTCATCCACAAACATCTACTTAGTATTTTTAGTACTCACCTGTAGTCTGCTGCTGGGGAATCTGAGTCTGGTGTGGCAAGTTCCTAGAAATGATTAACATTATTGAGTAAAACAGTGTTTGCACACATGTAAATAGAGAGCAGACATATTAGGACAAAAATCTGCAGGAGATAAATTCCCATGTCCTGTAATCCAACATAACTCCTCTCCCACTTCAAGAGTTTATGGATGAGGAAACAGGCCTAAGATGGATAAATGATAGCAATGTTTGATAATATTCATGGAATTTTTACTACATGCTCTAATTTATCTCCTAACAACCCTAAGAGGTAGGTATTGTTATTTTTTTCCATTTTACAAATGAAGAAATAGGCTCAGAGGCTCAAGGCCACGTGGCTAGAAAGCAGTGGATAAAGATGTGAACACAGTAATTCCAGAAATTGTGTTCTTAACTTTCATTCTTTCAGATCTAGATCTAGAAACACACACACACACACACATTCATACATTCATACATCATCCCTGGTCATGTCACAACAGCTTTTTAAAAGCATATTACCACCTTCAATCACTTTTCCCAAAACTGTGCTTTTTTATCCTCATGCCAGGGAATGGCCACACACCCAAACATGTTATTCGAAATGCAGAAGTCATCCTCAACCCTCCCCTCTCGTTCAGTTCCTACATTCAATCACTTGGGATCTTAATACCTTTCTCCTGATCTCAGCTGAATCTCTCCCCTGCTTCCCTATGGCCACTACCAAATTGGTTGAAATCATCACCATTGCTCATGTAAATTCTCACAATCTGTCTGACTTATTTCATTGTTCACATTCCTGCTCCCTATAATCCACTCTGTGTATTGCTGTCAGAATGATCTTCTAAAACACAAATCTGATTTTGTCATTCAAATAACACACATCTCATATTCCTTATATCTACCTGCAAATTGAGTTTCAGGTTTCTTAGTGCAGCCATCAATATTCTGGTCTCTATGAAAAATACTTCATCAGCTTGAAACAGAACAACTAACCACCACAGCCACTACCATGCCCTACATCCAACTAAGTGCACTGATTTGTCTTTGCAAAGTCAACTCAAAATTGGTTACAGCAGACATGTATTACTCTTATGAGTGAAAAATTTCCATAAGGAATGTTATCCAAATATTTATCATATTTTTTTCAATTAAAAAATAACATGCCTCTTCTTCTCTAAGCACCCCACCCCTAATTAGGTTACCATTTAGTAAGCATTCATACACAGGTTTTCATGGTATTTCTCTACATATTTCATCGCCCCAAAGTGCCTAATAAATAAGGATCATTCTATGTAATATCTCCAATAGGAATACGCAAAGTTTTAGTGAAGATGCTTACAAAGACTCACACAATACACGTATTTGTGAGCATGCAGATATATCCACTTGATGTTTCAAATTCGGTTATTTCTACTAGTTTAGGAAAATGTGCAATTTGAGTTCTATGTGGAAGAAACTCCAGGAGCCTGCTCTTGCTGCAGAGTAAGGTTTGATCTAAGCCAGAGAATTTCAGGTTTTTGTTTCTCTTCAGCAGTAGAATTCCTTTTAATTAAAATCCTAAGCAGAACTCTGATGTACAAAGGAGATAAATGTGAGGTTTCTCTGGGCTGAAACAAGGGAGCCAGAATTCCTGCCTGCTTTGTTTCCTTTGCCCTATATGTTGGCCCCTAAAGCCTGTCTAAGAAACCTCCAAGAAACAAAGTTTGCAAATCATTGATCTGAAGCATTTCAGCCAGGCAAATATTATGTTCCAAATATAATGATCTAAAGTGAAAAACGGTGCATGCCAATTAAATAGTGTTTAAACTCTTAATCTAAGTTAATGCCTTTGAGTGATTTTTTTAAAAAATTCGGTTTCATTTTAAATATATTGTTTAAGGAAAAAACAAAATCAATGCTAATTTAAGGAAATTATTTAATAATCTATTCTAATGATGACATTCTTTTTTGCTGTTGTGTATTAACCACACTTATGTTCATGTGGTCTATGGGAGTATTTCTTTTGCTTTGTTCTTCAATATACCACAAAATGTATATCGGTTTGGGTCACAAAAGTAAAAAAGATGAAGTTAGAAGCCACAAAAAGGAACTAAGTTCAGATTTAAAGACGGAAAAGCAACCACCTTTACTACCAAAATCACAGTGCAATTACATGAGCATTGGGGGTTGGGGAGGAGATTCGTAATTGACTGGGCTTATTCTACATTCTAAACTGATCCCTCTGCACACCTACACACACCACATATAAGCACTTCTTCACTATCATCTTTAATTCTACCTTGTCCATTAAAGAATTAAACCAACACATTTTTGACAAAGAGGACCAGGAAAGCATAGAACACAGCTATCGAACACAGCTGTGGTTGGTAAACAAAGACACAGGTTTCTTGAAAGCCTAGATTAAGCACACTCCAAACTCAAAATCAGTATTGGAATGACTGGTTGGATCCCCTCTTGTTGGCCCTCCCAAAGTCCTCTTCTGTGGAATTCTGCTTGGAAATCACTCATCAGTCAATCCACGCCCTGTCATTTCTTCTCTAGCTTCCACATTTTCCTCTTCCACAAAACTGCTAAACTTTCTAAATCACAATGGGCTTAGCTAGGTGACAATAAATGGTTGGTTAAGAAAGTGTCATACACAAACTAGCAAGAAATTCAGAAAAGATACCTGAGAAAGTGATTGTGTGTACTACCTTGGTTTGGGGATTTAAAAATATCTGCAGTGTGTGTCACAGTTGGCTATGTTTGCATGATGCACATGCACTCTGAAATTGCAACTGAAACGATAGATGAGTTATATAGCAAAAGTGCTTATGTGTGCAAAAAGGTGCTCAACCAAAAAAATGTTGAGATTCAACTTCCCCGGTCTAAGGTGTGTACATCTAGCTATTTTTGTGGCTGCCCAAACTTGTGACTGCCTGTGAGTCTGAGTGTCAGAGTGTTAATGTATCTATGATGGACATATTCAAAGTGGTGTATTCCACTAAAGAACTGAAGGGAGGTACCTCCAAAGAGCACTGCTTCAGGCATACTGGAAAAATGCCTACGACTAACTCTACTGGAGTTAAGACGCAGAGAATGCAGGAAGTGAGTGGGAGTGTTTCCATCCTTGCTGAAAGCAGGCTGCTACAGTCAATTATACTGGAGAGTGGGGGTTGACTTCAAATAGAGGCCCTATAATCCTTCGAAGAAAAGACCTTTATACAGTCATAAAACTACTTAGAATAATTAAGTTATTAATGGACAAACTGAAAGGTTATAATGTGTAAACCGCAGCATTACGCAGAAAGTTAAGAAAACTAATTCTCGGAATTATTAGCATTAATTATTTTCTAATTTTATTGCCATAATTACATGCATTTAAACAGAAAATTGTGTAAATTAGTCATTGCAAAAAGTTCATTCTTTAAGAAAGCAAAGGTAATAACTTGCAAATTAAGAAATAAGTGATTTGGAGGGAGTACACAATTATTTGTTATTTGTACAATTGTTTCAAGGTAATTTGACATTCTTGGATACCCTGTAGAGTAATTCTATGAGTAAGGTGGATGATTATCAACCAATTACATTGCTACTTGCTCAAAGACTCAAAAGCAAAGTAATTTGCATAAAGCCATAGAATCTATGCCAGACTTGAAAGAAAACGACATTAGTTATGTAGAATACAAAACATTTCTCGTTTGAAATCTTATGAAGACATTTAAAAATGAAAATAGTAATATATTTTAAGAATTTCCCACTATTTAAGGAAAACTTATATTCCTCAAACCTTGATTTTGCCACACACACACACACCAAAAAAAAAAAAAAAATCTGTAAAAAAGGTGATAAAAAGGTGACTTAGGTCTACAACTACTTTTGTTAAGGAATCAGGTTATTACCTGGAAGATGGAAGGGAGGGAGGAAGATCACAAAGAAACTGTAAACATAATTCTTAATTTCCTTGATTTTAGTTAAAATTAATGTAGTATTCTATATGACATATAAAGGAGAAAGAGACATTCATCTGTTTCTTTTAACTTTCCTCCTGCTTGTATAAAGACAAGCATAAACCTATCACAGCTTTAAATTGAAGCAGTACAAACCTATAGACTCAAAATCCATCAAAGAACATTGCATCTATCCCTTTTAGGGTTTACTCACTGAATTAAAAAAAAAAAATTAAAATCAATGCCTCTGAAACATCCCTGGTTGCTTGATAATTTTTGTCAACAGGAAATCATTATCTTGCTCCCCTGAAACAGTCTCTCCAACTGATCTCAACTTTTAGTTAAACTTAATTTTTTATTTATGGAATTTTACCATGAATAAAATGTTGGTTCTCATTACCACCAAGGGAAGACATAATGATACAATACTTCAGTAAAAACTAAAATGATTAATTACTACCTGTAATTAAAAGGCATAATTCTACCTTTATACTTGTTAATTTGCAAAAGATTAGGCACAATCTACCTCCTGTTTTCGAGGGACACCCAATTATCCTGGATTAGGTATTTAATGAATAAGGATGATTTTTGTACAGTCAATTAAAATCTTCCTGGAAAATGTGGGGCACTTTCCCATAATATTCCCATAATATTCACTCACTACACAAGTGTACTCTATGAAGACACCTCCCACTCAGGAAAAATCTGTTGGTAATGAAGTGGTTAAAAGAAAATAATAATAAGGAGGCAGATTTCCCCCCTAAAAGGCAACATAATTCCTCACATATTTAACAATATCTTATTTTTTAGAATACTGAATATTTGGGATTCTCCACTAATGTCTTTTTCCAAAAGCATAAAATTGCCAACTGACTATACTTCCAGAGTAGTTTTTAGGTTTTCAGGGGATAGCATTTTTTTCTGTCCCATTCAGACACTGTTTTCTAATCAGGGCTAATCTCTCACTTGCTCACGATGTTTAGTTCAAGCAATTTAAGGAGGTGTGGAAAAGTCTAGAGACTGATATGCTTAAATCTACAAACAGCCTAAACTTTCTGGACAAAACCTACTGCCCTGCTTCTTGTTCATCCTTCCACACATAGTCCTCAGGGGCATTTAGAAAAAAAAAAAAAAAGTTCCTCCTTTAAAACTCCAGGTGGAGGTCTGTGAGAAAACAAACACTTCTTCCCACTCTCCCTATACCCCCACCAGAAACACCGGAGGCTCTGGATTTCCAAATCCTAAACTTAAGTCCTTTAAATCAGGGATTCTCTACCTTTTTCCTGTTCTTCCATAACATATACCTCCACTAGATTCCAAATCTCCAGACTCAGGCCCCTGAGATCTGCACTATAGAAGTTTTACAGCAACTGACTTGCAATGGTGGTTTGGGAACAACTACATTAGACTTTCAACTTAAAGATATAAATTTCTATGAGTTGAAATATTTTTTCATTTAAATATTTACAAAAGTTTATCTTGAGGGATATCAAGCAAATCTGTAATAGATTTTTGATGTTAAGCCTTTGGTCACAAACATAATCCGTATCCACAACAATGATTCTTTGGGCAAAGGCAATGTACACTTAAGAATTACTTTACAATGTGATTTCCAGAAATGAATTGTAAATAAGGAGACTGCCAGTGGGGATAAAAATTTTTTTCTACTATCCATAGTAACATTTATTTACTACAAAGATAGCTGCAAAGACAACTTAGTACAGGTGATGCAGAAAGTCTGACCGGATAAGAGGATGCGGACATTCTACAGAACAGCCGGCTGGAGCCTCTAACCACAATCGAGGCCACTGGATACAAGGAAGGTCTAACAAACTGCCCAGACCAGAGAAAAGTAGGGAGATATGATGACTGCTGTGTCCTAGAGAGTATCTTGGAAAAGAAAAATAACAGTAGTGGAAAAACTAGTGAAATCTCAAAAGAAAAGTCTGAATCTAGGTAAGAGTAAAGTACCAATAACAAGTTCTTCGTGGTGATTATCTATGTGCCATGATCTACAAGGTGTTCACAATGGGAGAAACTAGCTGATAGTATTTGAGAAATGTTTGTATTGTCTTTGCAGCTTTCTTGTACCTCTAAAATTAAAAATATATATTAAAGAATAAGTACATTAGCAAAGTAAATTGACCTTATATTTCTAAGACTATGTGATAATTTATAGCCTGTTCATAATTCTTCTGTGATTTGAGAAGCAAAAGGAACACTACAAAATGAAAGCTCTCCTTTCTATGTGCTACATTTTCCAATTCTACCCTAGCTTCCCTTTCTACCACCTCTTTACTCTAAGCTAGATCCGAGATCCCTGAAGTCAATGACCACACTATCTATCCCTGAGTAGAGATCAGGATAGGTAAATAATCTAATCTCAGCACTGACCTAATTTAGTTTTGTCTCTTATCACTGTCTCAAATAAATCATCTACAAATGATTAAACACTTTTTTTTTGCTGGATAATTCACAGTGCCAATCTGGAGCCCTGTAAAGCATTTTATCAAAAAGGAAAATATTATTATGTAATTGACAACAGTGGCAGCCCCTCATTACACAGCTGTCATGAATTCTCTATACCTCTGATGTGAATCAACTTGTTCAAAATACCAAGCTAACATCTATGTATATTTTATTTTTCCTTTCTTTTTTGCAGTGGTGGGAATTGAACTCAGAGGCCACTGAGATATATTCCTAACTCTTTTTATTTTTTCGTTTTCTGAGACAGCATCTTATTGTGTTGCTCAGGCTGACCTTGAACTTGTGATCCTTCTGCCTCAGCCTCCTGAGTAGTGGGATTAACAGGCATGTACCAACTTGTCCAGCTATACTCAACTTTGAATGTTCTTGAGTCTTGCTTAGACACCCACATAAATATTTAGCCATATCCTTACACCAGAATGTTTCTGGTGTCAAGTCTGAAGAATAAACACACAACATCCAGTAGCTGGCCAAGTTATTTAATAATGATAAATTCAGAACACTTAGTATGACTATGTGAATATGTAAAGATGAAACTCATGCCCTTTTGAGAAAGGGTTAATTAGTAAATACAAGGTAGCATTATCCAAGCACATACCTAGTTATCAGGTACTGTAATGCCTCATCAAATACAATATCTCATTTTAGTTCTGAGAATTCAGTTCCATCCAAATGACCAAAATATTTATATGTCTATTTGATGCTGAAATAAAACTTTTAGAAAAACAGTTATGTTTTTCAGTTGAAGAGTAAAAGTTGAATTTGTGTAAAGGACAGCTATGATGAACCTGATACAATGAGTCCCCTATTATCTGGCATGGTTGGAAAATGAGGTTAATCACATATTCTAGCTTATAGGGAGTTACCATAGAGACCATGCACATATTATCCATTTCCAAGAATAAAAGAAAGATAATATACACTCAAAACTGAAACGACACCGAATGTAATTTAATTTTCCTCTGATGAGTCAGACACACTTGATGATCCTGCAGTACCTCAGAATAATCATTGTGAACATCATCAATTATCTATGTACCCTATTTATATAGAAGTGCTAGTTAATGGAGCTTTTCCATTAGCAGAAATTTGAATAATACAAAGGTTTTCAGAACTTAAAAACACATGTAGGTTGAAATTGTTGCAAATTCAATATAATAACCTATCGCATTTGCAAATAGATCTGATCGACATAATGACAGTATTGATGGGGTTATGGAAGGACCAGGAAGATGCGTTTGGTCTTAAACCAGACAGAAAATTTTGCTTGTATATTACAGTAAAACATTGCAAAATTCTAGTCACAGGAATCAAAATAATTTTGATGGAACTATTCTTATTCTCATATATATGGTTAAAAAGGGTAAAATGGTAAAAGTCTTAAATGATACAAGTCTTAAAAAAACAACAAAAGTCTTTTTTCTCCTCCCTTAGAACGTAATTAGCAGTAGAGTTTTAATTATTTACAAACATTTTCAATTCCCCTGCTCATTATAGTAGTTTTGTATTCTATAATTTTAGAGCAATGTTAGCTTAATACCAACCTTGTTTCATGGGTTCACAAAACACACACAAAACCTGGTTTCCAAGTATATTTGACTGTTTCATTTCCTTTTTTTTTTCTGGTACTGGGGTTTGAACCCAGGGGCATTCAACCACTGAGCCACATCCCCAGCCACCCCACCCTTTTTAAAATTTATTACAGACTGGAATTACAGGTGTGTGCCACCATGTCCAACTGGCCATTTCAATTTTAAAGACTACCTATTAGTATTTCACTGACACTCTAAACAATGTAAGAAATATTAGTCAAAAAAAAAAATAAGGAAAGCTAGTCTCAGCAACTCAGTGAGGTCCTAAGAAACTTAGCAAGACCCTATCTCAAAATAAAAAATGAAAATGGCTGGGGATGTGGCTTAGTGGGTTGGATCCCTGGTATCAAAAAAAAAAAAAAAGAACATATTCCTTTCATTTTAAAAATTAATGATAAAGTCATTCCCAATTTTCATTTCAAAAAGGCATAAGATATGGCTAAGTTGTGCATTATTACAATGTTCTTGAAATTTTACTAATGATAATCCGTGACTGATCTTTAGAGAGCATAGAAATCTCTCTCATTCATTCACCACACCTAAATTCTGTGGAACTGAAATACTTAGTTCAACCTGGCATAATGTTTCCAAAAATCCCAGATTTTCTATGTCTAATTTTCCTCCATCGTTGAAAAAAAAAAGACTTGAAGTAATTATTCTCTCTCTCTCTCTGTCTCTCTCTCTCACACACACACACACACACACACACACACACACACACAATCTATCCTTTGCTTATATGACCCCAAGTAAATGATGTTAGAGAACTTTAGGAAGGTATTTATAACATATTTGAATTTCCAAAGTATTTTGAACAAGTTCATCTAGACTGACGGTTTACACTATCCATCTCCATCATTGTTTAATCTTTAAATATTACGTGCATTTTACCTGATTACAAAATAAGCACTCTTGATGGAAAAGGTACCCAGCCTGGTTTCCAGACACATTTTTAAACCATGTTTATTTTCATATTATAATCTAAGGTGTGTGGGTAGTGGGGAGAAAGAGAGAAAGGGAGATCTTTTTTTGCATATACATTCCATTTACCTTGAAAAATAAGGAGGACCTCATAAGTCACCTTTGTGACTTTCAGCACTTTGGGCAATTGAATTCAAGTAATTTAACATATGATTTAAAAAAAATATTCTTAAAAATAAATGATAGCTTGTGCTAGGGTTGTGGCTCAGCAGTAGAGCGCTCACCTAGCACGTGAGAGGCACTGGGTTCAATCCTCAGCACCACATAAAAATAAATAACTAAAATAAAGGTATTGTATCCAACAACAACTAAAAAATAAAAACTTTTAAAATATGATAGCTTTACCCACTATTTTATGTATCAAACTCCAGCTCTGAGACACAGAAAATTCCTCAGCCTCCCTTCCCATATACAGTCCTTTTCACAGTCCTCCGGCAGGTTCTCTGACCAGATCTTCCAAAAGAAGAAAAGGTTTAAGATACTAAAATATGTTTATAGTTCATACTGAAACTGCTCATTTTGATATACAAGCAGACCACACACAAAAAAAAAAAAAAAGAAAAACGAAAAAAAAAAAACCTAAAATCCCTGTATCCTGAAAAAAAAATTTAGATGACATAGGGCTATGATAATAAAAAGAATAAAAAAGATTAACAAAACCAAATAGTTCCAACATTCTAAAAATCCATCAGTTTGCAATGCTTTCATACATGGTTCTCTTTTCATAATTAACTCATTTTTAAGCAAACATATATAATGGTTTATTATCAGTATTAATGTCTTAAACATTAAGGTGAATGTAGTCTTGTTTGGATTACTGAAGAAGAAAAAGAATTTCCTGGAAGTATTTCTACTCTGTTTGTTTCAGGCTAGTAAGAATGCTAGCTACATTATCAATGAACTTTTTGTATTGTCTCTTCCAATTATAAACAAAAGCAAAATCAAGGAAAGCTCTGGTCTTTATAGACATTAGTAAGTATATATGGGCACTTTAGTGGCTCTGGTCTGAGGCAATACTTACTGCTGTGTTTGCATCAGGGGCATATTCGTGCTATCGTAGCTGTCTGTGTGTAGAGGAGGAATGATCTCCCCAGTTACGGGGTGAAACACAGGAAGTGTCGACAGGGGCCATGCTATCTCTCTGTTCTTGGACATATCTCGTAGCTCCTTTGTAGATTTCTGAATAGCACTATGATGGACCAATTGGATGCTATGTCAAAAGAAAAGAAAAACAAACAACAACATATATTTAAAATCACATATTAGCCTGCTACTTCATCAATTTAAAAAAGTTATAAAAATGATTTTTCTTCTAAAATAACAAGACATTATTGTACTTTGGGCATTTTATACATCTCACAAACTTTTAACAGAGCAGAACTGAAAATCACAAACTGATTCTGAAGTAATCTCAAATTAAACTAATCTATGAAGCACTGTGTTCATATTACAGCCCTTAGTAACAAACTAGTTTTCTATTTAGTTTCTACGATTAAGATACAACTACAATAACTTTTATTTTGTGGCTTCTGGTGGGGCAATTATAAATACTCACAGGAGTTTCATTTTATAGTAGGTTATTATTGTAGATTCAGGAAAACTTGTATGAAAGGTCTTTTCGTCTGTTCTCTGGTTTATAGAAATGCAGATTGGGAAATCACATAATATAAATGGCAAGTTAATATTCTGAATCTGAAGTATTTTAGGTTTAACTTTTTATCTAGGTAAGCTTAGTTTTCAAACCCTTTTTATGTTTAGTTTCTACCCCTCCTAAATATCTCTATTTAGAAAGCAGCTTTCACATTCATAACATAAACCATAAAAGATGATGAATGAAAAAAAAAGCATGACACACATGTATGGAGCATGATGAGCAATGGAGAAGTGGAAAAAATGATAAAGAACAGGAAAGAAGACACTTACTCTGGTGTTTGCATGTTTCTCTTTTCCCTAGAAACAAAACAAAATTTATGAATTAAATAATAGCATTGATATTTGGAACATTAAGACTATATGCTCATGGAATCTTGCATGATGTGGAAATGCTGACAGTGTTACTTTTAAATGCAACCAGGCAGCATTTGCCACCAGGTTTATGATATTACTTGGATGAATACACACACAGCGATGGAATACTGATGAGAAACACACAGAAAATGAAAAAAAAAATGGAGATTAAGAATCAAGCTCTTGATTGAAATAAATTCTATGACATAATGAAATCAGGCTATATGTAAAAAATGGAATAACTTGTTACTTGCTGCTTTATTAATTTTTTATCCTTTGCTTTGTTACCCTGACTTCCAGATAATCTCAGGAGGTTACCTTAATTGACATAGATGTCCTGAAAGTACTAACTATTCATGAAGACTCATTACTCAAATTTTAGCTTATTTTTCTTAATTAACTCCTAAACTGTTTTTTTAAAAGATACTTTAAACATTTAGATTGTGACACCCTGTTTGACAGCAGAATGATTTCAAGAATGCTGACCATCACTCTGATCAAACTAAGACAATTCGTTTATTTAAAGTGCAATTACCATGTCAATAGATTCCACAGTCTCTGCTCACAAAAGATGGCTTGTGTAACCAAAGTATCTAGTCTCAATTATTCTTGGGACTGTTTTGCCAGCATGAATTTATATCTAGCCTTAATAATTTTTGAATAAAGTAATTATGGGCCCTAATTTGGTTTACTAGACTCAAAACTATTTTAATTCATTTTAAAGGAATAAAGTACTACAGTTTGACTTGAACACAATTTCAATTCATTTATAAAGTATCATATGAATTAAATGAAACTTTGCTCTTAATGGAATCATCTAGGTTGCTATCTTAGCAGGCTCTCTAATTTTTTTATTAGTGTTTTAAAGTACTCACACGCCTTCCCGTCGGCAGCACATGATATAAGCAAGTATTAGAAAAAGGACCAGTGCTACTGCCGAGGGCACAGCCAGTGTAATTAGGAAATCCGTGTAATAGTCTCTGCTTTTCAAAGAATCAGAAGGGGGTTTGTACTCTCCACCATCAGGCAAAATCCCCTCTCCACGAATCACTTCCTGATAAGTGGACACTTGCTTTGTTTTATCAACCTGATACAAAAGAAGACAATTATATACCAAATTAATAGCTGCAAACATTAATGAGATTTTTAAGATCTAGACACACCAAAACATTCTTTGACAAATTACCTTAAAAAGCCATCTTTTCCAATTATGTTATCACCTTGAATTTCCAATTATTTATTGGAGTCAGGGAGAGATAATGAATGAAAGTAATAAAGGCTTTATCTTGGCCTATTTTCTGCATAATTCTCTCAACATATATACATTTGCCTCACGTGTAGACATACATAATAAGTGTATGTACATGTGTGTGTAATTTTCTGTTTCCTCCAAAGCAGAAGTTCTTTACAGTACTGTGTAAATTTCTTGTTTTCTAGTGACAAACCTCAGTGCAGATGTTAACAAACCACAAAATGGCTGATGAACTGGTATGAAGGTTTAGTTTCTAAGGTCAATCAGTGAAAGAGAGGAAAAGAAAAACAAAAAGGATAGTTTCCCAAACTGTTCTTGATCTTTCTGCAACCCAGCTAACACGTTTTTAGAAAAGATAGTTATGGAATATGAAACCCTTCCAATGCTATAGTTTTACTAAATTCTATCCCAGGATCCAAGAAATGCAGACTTGCATTATGTTAATTTACCTCCATGTTAATGAAACTGCTCTCACAACAGAGTTGTATTTAATGATAGTATGGTTTTTAGTAAAGGATGCTAAAAAGGTACCTGTGTAAAATCTGTTGCAGCATTTTCTACCAGAAAAAAAAAGTGTTGGGGAGAATTATTTATGGCATTACTTAATATCCTCTCCCAAAAGACTCCACTTGAAGAATTTTGTTAATAATGCAATGCTTTATTTCTGCCAAGGAATTGATGTTCTGTGTCCTTCTTAAGAATGGGAACTAAATAACTGATGAATTTCCTTTTTAAAAAAATATTTTTAGTTATACATGGACACAGTATCTTTATTTTTTTTTAAATTTATTTTTATGTGGTGCTTATGATCGAACCCAGTGCCTCACATGTAAGAGGCAAGTGCTCTGCCACTGAGCCACAACCCCAGCCCTGAATTTCCTTTTTTTATCCTGGACATTAGTATACTTGTTTTCAAACATGACTTTACTATCTATTATAAAGTTTAGGTCCCAATATTATCATTTTTTAAATTCTCTATTATATTTATTATATGACTTTTATTTAAGCCTTCTGAAGTCTTTTGTGGCATATAAACAACTACATGTAAAATTAAAAAATGAAAATTCCCAACCTTTCCATTATCGTAAAAACTAAAATCTTCAGCATAAGTCATTTTTAAGCTTTCAGAAATCAGATAATATTCCTACACAAAGGCTCATGTTACAACCCCAAGTAAAATAGCATTGCTAGGGTCTGCCTCTGACTCTGTTGAGAGGAATCTATTTAAGTTATGATAGCAGCTGCTCAGTCCTTCACACCCTTGTATGTTTAGTACCATGACTGAGTTTTTCAAACTCAATATTTGCCTCTAATGCACATAAACCATAGCAAGAGAACAATTTAATTTGATTTAAGAAGGTAAAGGGCATGATTTCTCTAAGATGCCAAAGACATGAGAAGAGTAGTTCAGGGCAATAGGCCACAGGGAGTGCTAAGTATTGCAACGTGAGTAACATGTTCTCCAGTACTGGAGCCTGGCAAGCTGCCTGCAGTGGGCTCTCTAAGACATGAAGTGACAGTTGTGTTTATGTGTCAATAACTTTGTTCAAATGTCAACTTTAAACTTAGATCTAATTCATTCGCTGCCAATCATAAAGAGCTGACAAAAGTTAAATCTAAAGGTCACAAACAAATTAAGACAACTTTGGTACCTCTCAGCAGGATCACAACATTATATAGAGATATACAAAAAATACAACTAGTATACACATATAAAAGTATTTTATATATATAATAATATATATAGATATATATTTATATATATAAAACTTAACATTTTTCTAAATCTTACAGCATGCAAATTAAAAAGTGGTATAAAATATAAAAATATTTGATGTTTATGAATTTATTCTTAAGAATGTAAGTAAGACACTAACTTTCCTCACTTGGAATTGTTTCTTGAACCTTAAACTTTTCACACAATTTGTGTTTCCAGGACATTGATAGCATAATATTGGCTTATTTTCAGATTTATTATAGTACTCCATTCTCTCCCTCCAAAGTAAGATAGTGGGAGCAAATTTCAGAAGAGACTTTTACACAAACCATGCTGACTCCATAAGCTGTGCTGATTAACAGCAACCTGCAAGTCCAACAGGTTCATTTGGACCACCTGTCAAGCTAATCCAACCTCAGCAACTATTCAAAGGTAAAGTGAGAACAATAGTGGAGATACTCTTTCCTAAATGGAGGCAGTGTCAATGAATTTACCAAATCCTTAAAGTCAAGCAAGTCCATTGCAGTTAACAAAGTAAACACAGGATTTGTTTCTAAAAGCTATTCAGGTTTTAGTCAAACATTATGTCCAGCCACATCCCTCCTAACTAAATTTGCAAAAATAAAAGTAAGCAAAAACTCACCAATGAAATTTTGCACCAGTCAATGTAAAATTGAGTACGAAATTTTTTATCACATGTTATTACAGGCTCCATTTCTTGACTGCATCTCAATTGATTCTGTGGATTTTCAACTTCTCGTAAACAAGAAGAAAATGGGACATCGGCACCAACCATGACATAAACACTGTAAAAATGTGAAACTCTCAAGTTATCCTTTAAGAAAATTGAAAACACTGAAAAACAATCTCCCCTGAAAGCAGGATTTATCCTTTTGAATTGAGGGATTAACTAGAATCATCCCTAAGGTAAGAGCCTAGGCTTTAAAAGCAGTGATTCATGTAGGGGCTTCCTTTCAGTCATTCCTCCATTCAACCAATATTTACTGAATGCCTTAGTACCAGATAGTCTCTGCATTCTACATTAATTTCCAGAAATTGTATTTCATCCTTTTTATTTCATTCAAAATAGTCATGGTCATATTCTGACTACTATATTTCATAGACTACTTACATTAAAAAATATTCTTAAACTGAATTGTTTAGAAAATTAACTATCACTAAAATAATAAATAATTATAAGTAAAACATTTTTACTTGATTTCACTATATATAGTAAGATTGTGAAATGGCATCCCTGGAGATATTAGGCTCCAATCATGCTTTGTTATTCTACGCAACCATCCTGTCCACTTTTACAGTACACAAACCCCTAACACTTGGTCTCTTGTTATGAGACATTCTCTAAATCATTTATCTAAAAACTTAAGAACTGTTGTTTGGTAATCACAAACAAGAAAAACAAAGTTTATATTTTTGGTGTGTATCTTAGAAATGATGACCAAAGAACTCTACTTAAATGACATGATTTCATAATAAAACAGAACGTAGTTAGCAGTAGCATTCAAATAATCTTGGAACAGTTTGAGAATATGGAATCTCACTTGCCATTCAAAGGAAAGAAAAGAAACAAGAAATTACTCTAAATAAATATTATTTATTTTCTTAATGTTTATAGCTAATTATAAAATGAAATAAAACTATTAAAATTGCAGCTATCCTTTTTGCAGAAATTTACAAACTTACCCTAAAATTCACATGAAAATTTCAAGAAACCCAGAGTAGGCAAAAAAAAAAAAAAAATGTGACTAAGAAAAATAAATTTAGAGGACTCATAATTGATAATTTTAAAATTTACACAAAGCTACAATAATCAAGACAGTATGGCACTGACATAGAGACAGACATGATCAATGGACTAGAATTCAGAGTCTAGAAATAAACTCTAGTATTTAGTAAACCAATTATCATCACAGATACCAAAACAATTCAATGGGGAAAAATTTTTTACAACTAATGGTGCTAGAAAAACTACATATTCATGTACAAAAGAATGAAGTTTGATTCCCTATCTCACACCACATATACAAAAATAAATCAAAATAGATCAAAGAAGACCTCTGGTTTCTGATCCAGTAAATAAAAAGCTTGGAAGGTACTACACCATACTAACAACAAGTTTTTAAAAACTGAACAAATTGAGAAATAAACAATTATTTTTAGATCTGTAGGAGAAGAGAGTTCACAAGGCAAATGGCTGCCCCTAAATTTGGAGAGACCAATAGGCAAATACAGAGAATCACACTTTACTGTAGAAGAATCTTGCAAGTTAAAACCTCTGGAGAACCAGTGCTGGGGTAGGAAAACCTGAACTATAATTGATAGAGGCTCATTGTAGAAAAGTCTGACAGTTAAAACTCCAGAGGAATCCAGTTATTGGAAGCCCCTCTCCCTCAGCGACACGTACACACACCTATGTGAGTTTTATCTCCAGGAGCTCTACCAGGTTCTTATACTAATATTCACAGTCTGCTTTTGCTTTCAGCAGGAGGAGAGAAAAAATGTATTATGTATTAAAATACATAAAATCATTCTGTTCTTCTTAACAAGACTTGTCTTTAAGAGAAACTTACCAGAGACTAACCTGCTAGGGATATATTAGAGCCTAACTGACTGGGGAAGGGAAATAACCAACTATGACCAGCTCTATCCTTCCACAAAGAGAAAGGTAAATGCCCAATTCCAGGCTACTTCAGCCATTGTGTCCAACATAAAGTGTAGTTCACATGAGAGGCACGGGTGATAGTCACAGTTCAGAGACATAAGCTCATTAAAAGACAAAGAAATAATCCATGACTATAGAATGGTTCCCTGCCACCACATCTCATAACTAAAGGCCGTAATTTATTTGTATTTACCCAACATTAGTCCAGTTATCAAGAAAAAAATTACAAAATTTACTAAATGCATAGCTTGATGGGACTGAATAAGCATCAGAAACACACTCTCGAAGATATCAGGAATGCTGAAGTCATCAATATGAAATCAGAACAACTACTACTAATATGCAAAGAACTCTAATGAATAAAGTGGACCGGCCTTGTAAGAAATGTTAAAAGAAGTTGGTTAGAGCGACAGAAAATGATATAGGTCAGAAACTCAGATGCTTATAAAGAAAAGTGGGGCATCAGAGAAGGAATAAGTGAAGCTAAAATGAAAACTTTTGTTTTTATTATTCTTAATTGATACAATAGACAATAACTTGTTCAAAATAATAATAGCAACAATAACACTTATATATAGCTAAGTGTGTATGGGTGCTTATATATAAGCAAAATGGTTGAAAGCTATGTTACAAGAGATGTGAGGGAGGAACAGGGACTATTTTATTATTGCGAAATATTTGTACTATCATGAAGTTTTACAGTGTTACCTGAAAGTGGACTTGGATTAGTTGTACATACATATTGCAAGTTCTAAGGCAACCACTAAAAAAGGGAGAAAAAGAAGTATAATATGTAGGAGGAGAAAAAATGGCTCAGGAGGCTAAGACTGGAGGATTGTGAGTTCAAAGCCAGCCTCATGCTAAGCAACTCATTGAGACCCTGTCTCAAAAAAAAAAAAAAAAAAAAAAAATAGGGCTGGGGATGTTGCTCAGTGCTTGAGTGGCCCTGAGTTCAATCCCCAGTACCAAAAAAGAAAAAGAAAAATCCCAATTAAAATTAAAAAAGTAGAAAACAAAAATATGAAAACGAACAAGGGCAACTAATAGAAATATAGTAGATAGTAATTTAATTAATAGTTATTTTAAATAGCAATGGTCAAATTCACCATTTGAGACAGATTGCCAGAGATTTTAAAAACAAAATACAATTATATGTTTTCTATAAGAAATCTATTTTAACTATAAAAACACACCAATGAAAGTACACGGGTGGAGAAAGATATGGCATGCTAGCACTAATCAAAAGAAAGTGGGAATGAGGCTGGGAATATAACTTCGTAGTAGAACATGCACTTATTATGCACTGGGTTTAATTCTAAGCACAAAACCAACACAATAGTAGGAATAGCTATAGCAAGGAAAGTTGTCATGGGGGAAAAATGGGTATTACCTACTAAAAAAGGCATCAATTCTCCAATAACATAAAACAATCCTTAATGCATTTTGTTAAATAATAGACCGTCAACATACATGAGTCAAAAACTGATAAAAACTGCAAGGAGAAATGGATGAATTCACTATGATAGAGATTTCCATATTCTTCTATCAGAAAGAATACTGCTGGACACAGCCAGCAGATGGAAAATCAGTACACACATAGTTAAGCTCAACATCATCTATTAGATTAACTAGATATCCATAGAGTATGCCATCCAATAACAACAGCAACAAACATTCTTCCCTAGGTCACATGGAACATTCACCAACATTCTGGGCCATAAACACACCTAAAAAAATTGAAAAGTATAGATAGCATGCAATATCATGCTCTCAGATCCCGGTAGAATTAATTAGACATTAAGATAAAAAAAAAAAAAACTAGAAAATTCTAAAGTACTTGGAGATTAAGCAAACACACTTCTAAATACGCATGTATCAAAGAAGAATCTTAAGAGAAATTTTTAAATATTTTGAATTAAATGAATTGAATGAAAATATATCAAAATTTGTGGAATGCAGCAAAAGCAATACTTGGCAATGAATTACGGCATAGAAAGTATATATCAGAAAAAAGAGAGACCTAAAATCAATTAGCTAAGCTTTTAGCTTAGGGAACTAGGAAAAGAACAAAAGGTTAAATCCAAAGTACAGAGAAGAAACAATAAAATTATAGAAGAAAGTTGGGCATAGTGGCACACGCCCATAATCCTAGAGACTTGGAAGGCTGAGACAGGAGTATTGCAAATTCAAGGCCAGCCTCAGCAATTTAGCAAGGTCCTAAGCAATATAGTGAGACACTATATCAAAATACAAAAGGCTGGGGATGTGGCTCAGTGGTAAACTGCCTCTGGGTTCAATTTCACTATCAAAAAGAGAGAGAAGGAGAGAAATAAAACGGGGTGGGGGGGATTAATTAAACTGAAACAGCTAGTTCTTTGGGGGGGGGGCAATAAAACTGATAAACCAGGAAAACTGGAAAGAGAGAATTTCTAATACCAAAAATAAAGGACAGACATCATTAGAGATATTATGGGTATAAAATAATAATCAAAGAATATCACGAACAACTCTATATCCACAAAGTTGATAATTCAGGTGAAATAGAAAAATTCCTTGGTAGAGACAACCTGTCAAAAAACTCATACAAGGAGAAATAGACAATATTTACAGGTTTTATCAAGTAAACAAATTGAATTAATAAATAATAAATAAAGCTAAAAAATGAGCTTCCAAATAAAAAAGAACCAGGCCTAGAGGGGTTCATTATTGCATTCTTCCACATGTTTAAGGAAGAAACTGCACAAATTCTCTAAAATCTCCCAGAAGATTGAAGTCAAAAGAATATTTTCTACACCATTTTTTTTTTTTTTGCTTAAACAACATAAATTTATTTCTCATAGATCTAGAGTCTGGAAAATGTGAGACGAGGGTTCTACACCATTTTTTAAGGCCTACATTTTAATACTAAAATCAGACAAAGACATTATAAGAAAACAAAAGACCAATACCTCTCATGAAAATAGATACCAAATTTTCAACAAAATATTAGCAAATTGAGTCCAATTTTGTATAAAAGAAATTATAAACAATGACCAAGGAGTTATGCAAGGTTAGTTCAATAATTGAAAATAGATCAATATGATTTATCAGATTAATGGAATAAAGAAGGAAAAACACATAATC